AGCAACAATGTAGTTACGTCAAGACAAAATATAACTGAAAGAGGGTGTATAATGTATAAATGAATGTATAAAGTGGTATAATCAAGTAGCATGTATTTACTTAAATGAAAACTGGATAGAAATGGAATTTAGTAAGTGAAATGGGTGTGAGTTAGCATATGTAGGAGTAACTGATTGCCCTTTCCAACAGTCAGGAGTGATTTTTTTTTTAAACTGGATCGTGCTTCTTTATTGCCAAATTGGATGTTTCTTTTTGCAGTCCTCAAGCACAAAAGGTTTATAATAAGTTTAAAAATGTTTAATAACGTAAAATGGAGATAGAAAAGTAATCAACCAAAACCTCCTGGCACAAAAGGGCTATGGCTTGATTCTGTTTTGGTATACATGCTGATTTTGTACTTGTCTACTTATGCCCATCAGGAGAATTGTTTTCCTTCTCTCTCTTTTCTCAAACCAATATATTGATCTTAATGCCACATTAAGATGGATACTGTAATGTACATGAGGAGTTCCTTTTACCAGGAGGCTGCTCTGGTAGAGTAACAGATATGCTGGAATGAAGTATGTATTAGATGGATTATGTTAGCGTGACAGTTAACAGAACCATTGAACAGTAGAACCTGCTCTGTGCATCAAAGATCTAAAGGGTTTATGTCTAATTTTTGAAAGTAACTTACCACCTAGAAACCTAAATCATTCGTGTACTTTTGAAAACATACACCATTAATGGTAAATGTTAACATCAAGCTAAACAGACTGGGAGCAGATTATACTTGTAGAAGCAATACAACTGTAAAAAGGGTTAAAAAAAGTTTTGCTTAATTATCTGGTTTTTATGTTATTTTGTTCATAGAGCAACAGTCTGAACTGGGATGAGAGCTGTAAGAAGCATCTAACTTAATGCTCTGCCAAACACCTCATACAGTTAAAAACTGTAATTGTTGCCACTTTGATAGAAGATTTCAAAAAAGGAGCTCAAAACACTTATTAAAAAAAAAGATCAATCCCTACTGCACTGCTTGAAAATGTGTAAATACTAAACACCAATTTTTAACAACGTAATGGGAACCCAAAGACATTAAGTTACAGCTATAAGATCAGGGCCTTTGAAGGTCTATCCCATGGTGCTGCAATCATTTTTGTGACCTGGGTACAAAATGTCTATCTCATCTTCTAAACAAAATGACTATCTCCTTTCTTATCACAGGTGGTCTTGTGAATGCCCATAGAACCATAAAGAAAAAAACGCTGTCTATTCTCTGAAGGATTATGGTATATTTATGCCCTATCACAGTCATTTTCTTCAGTTACGGTCTTCGGGCTTTGTTGAATTCTTGACCTCAAATCCCTCTGATTTTAGAAGGCACTAAAGTAATTTGAGCCCTGGAACAGTTTGATCTTAAAGGTTGTCAACGGTACCTTTACCTTTCTGCTTGTGGATGAATCAGCTTGTTTTCTTGTAGATCAATCACTTGCCTTGTTCAATAGTCCCTGAATTCTTTACTACACAGCTGAGAAGCTTTCTGGCATGAGATAGTCTCATCCTGGGGACTAGGCATGGATGGGACTGATAGCAAAGGGATTCTCAGCTCTGATGCTACTGTCCTCTACTTATGTATCTGAAGCTTTCAGATACCCATGCTGGCCCAGATATGTAGCATGAGTAGCCAACCTGAGGCATATAGAATTAGAAGTCACTTCTGAAAGTGTTTAACCGTGAACTTTTATTTCAGTTTGTCCTTCTGTAAAATCTAGATAATGGTAATTTACCTTAGAGGGCAATTCATGCTTTTTTCACCCACTTCTAATCATACCTTTGTGGAAACTCCATATTCTGAAACAGGTCATTAAAAGCTCTAAGCCGAATACAAAAGATGCCTCTATTAAATTGGGTTATTTCCTATGCATTGAGCAAGAGAAAAACAATTCACGCAGACTCTTCTTGACTCAGACAAAATGATTCCCTCCTCATTGCTCCCATGCCACTAGCCAATCTCTCCACTCCAGATTACCTACTTTCCAACCCCCATCCTGATGAGTTTGTTATAATTTGCAAGCAAAAATTCACCATGTGCCTCATAATTTTGGTTTATAAGGATCATTGTGTTTTGCAAATTTTTTTCCAAGTTGTTGTGGTAATTAGATCTAGACCTCAAGCCAAACAGCAGATGTTGGGCTTTCCTTGCAGAAGGCAGCTGCCAGTGACCCTGAGGTTCCCCTCTCATAAATCAGATGCTCCTTCCACACCCTTTCAGAGTCTGTTAAGTGAGAATAAGCTACAGTACATGTTACATTCATGTGATTTTAGGGCAAATCTGAGCAGGCAGTCTCCTCACAGTGGAAATACTGCTGTATTTTGGAAGGCGAAGGAAGCAAAAGGCAGTTTTTTATGGACAGCAAAACACAAGTGCAGTGTTGATAACTCACTCACCAGCATTTGTAATGTTATCTCAGGGACAAATTTTGAACGGGACCCAGAGATTTGACTTCCAAATCTCTCTACTAGCTCATTATGTTATAATGTAACCCTGCAATGTGCTATTTATGGTTGGCTCAGGCAATGTTATCTAAAGGCCTCATGAGAAAAATCACACACTAATACATATAGATTTATGTACTAGGCTAATCAACAGGTGTTTGGTACAATACAAAAACATGCAGTGAAGACTGAGGCCATGTTAGCTACAGATATTAATAGGCTTTCTAAAACCATACTAGCCCTGGAAAAGCCTGGTTCAATAAATACGTCCCTGGTGAGAACCATAAAGATTAAGAGTGGATGCGTCTATTAGATCAAGTTGATGGTTTGCCTGCTTCACACTGGATTGGCACCTGATTGTCTCAATCAAATAATTGTTAGTTTGCATCTGGCTCTCTGCCTCTGTTCTGATGCAAACTGAATACTTCCCTTGATAAGAAAACCCACAAATTGACTAGAAGATAGACTATGCTGGGATCAAGATCATACATGCATGTGGGATGAACTATGCCAGATTTGGCTCCCTCAGCTTCCTCCTGTTCTCTCAGAGCACCCAACCAAGACTAGTGCCCTCCCAGAGGAGTGGTTGTATGTTAAATGAATGCATATTAAGCAGAACCTACTGGGTGATGGGATAGCTTTCCTTTGCACAACCTGTTTATCTGAAAGGGCCTTGAGACTTGAAAGGCAGTAATAAAAGCCAGTTTGCATCCCTTAGTTTGGAAAACACACGTTACTCTTGAAATAGCTAGAAGTATAAGCACAGCTAAACTCAGCCTATGTGAGAACAACTCTCAGACCACATCCCAGTGTCAGATGCAGTGTCACCAAGAATACTTGGGTTCACAGATATTTAAATCCGAAGCTAGTCCCTTTGAGCACCTTCCTCCTACCAACAGGTGGGAACACAACTAGAAAATGTCAAAAGACTTGGATCAGAGAACAACCAGAAAAAACAACAAAACTTTGATTTACAGCCAGGAATTAAGTGGGTGCCAGTGCAGACCAAAAAGCACAGGCAGAATACACTATACGTGACAAACCTTGCTAAGGGTAGAGCTGTGTTTTGCACTGACTGAAGGTTTTTCACGGTGCCTGATTTTCTGCACACAACAACCCACTGCAGTAGGTTTGCACACACACAGGTGACACGAATAGTGGATGTTTGGTCTGTGTCAGAGCGGAAGGTCCCTAGTTGACTAATGGACAGTATTTACTTTTCTGTGTTTGCTACTCACCTATCAATGTTCAAAGCAACCCCAGGCTGGACACAAGCTACGGCCCTACAGGCAAGTTACCAAGCATGGCTGTTTTGTGAGACCAGATAAGAGTATTGTCAGTTGCTTGAGCATTTTGCTTTTACTAATGGTTCAACTCCTCCCACAGAGATTCTCAGCTTCCATTTAAAAAGTTTCTACCCTTTATGGCTGTGGAGAAAAGCTGAAAACATGGCTTCAATATAACCTAATGGGTCAGAAAACAAGCCAAAGAAAAAGAACTTCACGTTGATTTATTCTGTAACAAATAAATCATGATCTTTAAGCTAATCTCGAAAGAGTTTATGGTAGCCTGACTCAAGGTTTTTGAATGACTTCAGTTAGAAGTACTTAAATAAGATATCCAACTAGCAAGCTAAACAAAAATAAACAAAGCTTTCTCCACAGCTATTCTGGAGAAGATTAACTCCTTTCCTTGCTAACTACATCTCTCATTGCTATCAACACAGAAATCAATGACAGCTTTCAGCTAACCCCCTTTCCAGAAGGCCAGTATGTCCATTCAAAAAAAACTCTTGAGCCAAATGATGTAACCCTCCCATACTGTGATGTCCATATTCCACCTCCACAATGGAATTACCAGCCTTCTAGTTACTCAAACCTTCCTTGCAAATAAGAAAATGGATGCTAGACTATTAAAAACTGCTTGAGGACTTCCTCTGAGCCATTACAAATGATTTAAGCTAATAGAAAAACCATGAATATGATTGTTTCACTGCCCTATGTACTGCTGGTTCTAAATCGTTCCCAATGCTCTCCCCATCAGAGCATCACATGCAAGGAAGAAAATGTAGTTTCAATAAAAAAGGCTCCCCTCTTTCCAAAATCTACACAAATGACCACTCAGCATTTCCAGCAAGGCCACACACTTGTAATACTCGCAATGCAACATGATTTCACAGTTGTTTAAATCATCTAACATAAATGAAATGACTCAAAGAGACTATATTTTAATTTGTTAGCTTGAAATCTTGAAAATCTTGAATCTCTCACTTCTATCAAAGTTTGGATGATCAAATCTAACACGTCATGGAACTTTCATTCCCCCTCCGTGTTGGTTTGGTCATCTTTTCATTAACATCACATCTATCATGAAGTTACACTCATGTGAATGTACCTCCCACACACCAAAAAAAAAAAAAACTGCATCATGTTGCATCATTAAAATCATTACACAGAAGGATTACTCCTGCCTCATGCCACAGCATGCACGCGCATAAAAGACAAACAATGACATTACTTACTAGGAACTCCAGACACCAGCCGTAAAGGACGTAATACTCGGAAAGCCCGCAGTGCTTTAACATCAAATCCGGCACCTTTTCCTCCTATTGAATTCCCCCCATCTGCTTTGGTTGCTTGTTCTAAAATTGCACTAAAAAGCCTGTAAAAAGAAAGAGGAAACAAGCTGTAGGCAGACAGCAAGGCTTGGGCTAAACAGGAACAGAGATCATCATCATCATATCACCCAAACTATCTCACAGACCTGTGAAGAGTGCCACACATCTCACTCGACATTCACATATGGTGGAGGAAAGAGACAGACTTGTCCCATATGCAATAGCCTAATGGTGATGTCTATACCATTTGCAAAACACTAGTTTCTGGAGTAGACATAAATGTAATCTGCTCCTCCTTCAGCCTCATGGCTCCTTGCAGCCAGCTTGGGGATTGCCCCCAGGGGCCAGAATGCCTGGACTTGTGGGGAGGTCTGCGCCCTGCCCCGCGGGCTGGGGCATGATGGGTGCTATATGCTTCAGAAAGATCATTCTGGTTGTACCTGAGGCCTAATTTAAAGGCTCGCTGACTGTGTAGCATGTGGGTTTGGCTTCGAAAGCACCCTCCAGGCTGCCCTTAACGGACAGTTTGTACATGCTTAGCAGAAGCTGGGTAGAAAGGAAAGAAATCATGAAATTTAGATTTTGCCTTTTCTGCTGTCGTTACTTTGCTATCTTTATTAATCAACAATCCACCGTGGGGAAAGAAAATCACTAATTATTTGTTACCCATTTTACAGGGAATTAAGATTCACAGAGATCATTGAAGGTAGAACTGGTTGCAAAACTCGGGGTTCCTTCAAGCTGCAAATTTTCAGATAAGAGAGCATGCTCAGATTATGTGCTTGTGTATCCCTTTGTTGATCTCCTGAGGCAGTGGCTAGGGGAAGGGAAACACTACAGGAGTCCTAAGTTTTATTACACAGTCTTAATATTTATCCTGGCTAAAAGGAATTGCTCCTTTAAGAAGAAGGTGGCTCACTCAGAACACATTTGAAAAGGCAGAGCAGGGTAGGAAAGACATTGTTCTTTTGAGAAAGACCTGAAGGTTCACCCTATGTATTAATAAGAACTTGATTTAATAAATTAGCTTTCAGGAAGCAGCTACCATTTCTCTGGTAAAACATTAGTACCTTTGGGGGAGGACGGATTCCTCATGAATTTGCTAATAGCATTGCTTTCAGCCTTGAACTCATCAGCTTGAACCCAGCCAAATTCAGTAGAGGTTAAAAGCTGTTCCAGTCTAAATGGGTATTTGGCACTCTGTAGAAAAAGCTCGCCTGTAAGAGGCAGAATACCCTCTGGCCGACAGCATCCCATGGAAGTAGCAGAGGTACCTTTAAACAAGCTAGCTGAGATGCAAGAAATACTCTAGTTAGAGCAGCCTGGATTCAGCACTGACTAATTTATGTCACAGATATTGCAGCCTGTATTTCCTTTGTCAGGATCTCATCTATGTGCTCTAACCGGAAAACCTGAGAGCCCCAAAACTGCATATATAGCAGAGTCTGAACTACGGAACTGCAAGAAGCTCCAATCCCCTGCAGTTCATGGTTAGAAACTTACTGATAGGCCATGAATATAGGAAACTTGCCCTGGACAGAAAAAGGAGGATTCATTTACCATGCCTCCAAGCCAACACATTTCCTCAGCACTACATCCACACAAAAATGTGGATTACTGGAGTGCAAATATGAAATTAGTTTCTCAAGCAGTTTTTGAAAATTTCATACAGAGAGTCTTATAAAACATGTCAGCTGTGACTGAGGAACTCCTAACTGGATCTATTCAAAGCCTTAACTCCAAGCACTGCAGAAAGATTTAACAACTAGGTAACAAGCGTGGGAAAAACTGTGTGTGGGGAGGTTGAATGCTGAGTTTGTAGGTGTTACAGACTGAGAAGCAGGATGCAGAGAAGACAAAAACGGAGCCTATGAGAAACACTGAGGCTGCTACAGATATCACCGGCAGAGATAAACAAGGCCCCATACAAAGAACATAAATTATTGGAATATACGTACTTTTTGAGCTTTGTACACAAATTACACAGCATTGCAATTTTCTGCTGCTCTTTGTAGTATAAACACTGTGGGTCAAATTTGGCCTAAAGTATTTCCTGTAGGCTAGTGATTAAACTCCATAAATCTGTTCTATTTCTTATTCAAACATTTCTGTCTTCCTAGTCAACAGAATTCCCATGCTAGACTGTGAGTGGCATACCTATACAAAAGTCCCAGTCTCCTGGGACCCTCTGGAGGAAAGAGAATTCATTGCAAAAGGTTTCTCGTACCATTTTGCAGCTCTCTTTTGCAATGCTTCAAACAAGCACTCTTAAATTAAGAACTCTGAGTCAGTGACTATGCATAAAAGAGGGTCTGTTCTCCTGGTCCCCAATATCACTGGACCCATGTCACGTTTCCCAAACTGTAGTTCTTGCTACTAAGGGCATCTTCTCCTGCCACTCATGCAATGGACAAAACATGGACTGCTCTAGAATTCTGCATTCTAAGATAGTTATTCGCTAAGTCAATTTGGGGGAAGTAGAAACACAATCAGTAGGGCAACTTACTCCCGTGGAGCTGGAATCTGCCTTCCCAGACTAATGCATTTATACTCTAGACCAGCTGGCCGTGCTCATGCACTCCACAGCTGACACGCTGAATGTGCTCTCTTGAGGTACCCAAAGTCATCTGCCCATTGCACCTCAGAAGTAATTTGCAATAATTCCTCGGGCTCCTCATTTAAAAACCTATATTTAAACTTGAATTGCATTACCCCTGCTAATTCCACTTTAACATATTTACTCCAAGCTTAATATCTCCCGCTGTATTAATCCTGCTTTTTACCAATGCAATACAATTTTTTATTTCTCTGATTTCTCTTCCTTCCCCTTGTATATTGGGGTCCAGACTCTGTGCCCAACCAGGCCTACTGAATCTCTGTCTACTCTACTCTTTAAATTTAGAGGATATCCTGTCGATCATACTTCATTGTGCCTATAACCTCCTGAGTTAAGGCATGGACAGACATCTGCGGCTACAACTACCACATGCTCATTTGGCCGTAACTTCATCACGACCCAGAGGAAAGAGACAAGTTCTGTTCATAAATAGCACAGATGATTAGATACAGAAGAAAGGTAAGGCTTTTAACTGCTTCTTCCGTTATCCTCTTCTAAGGAAAACCCATAACCCGTATACAATTTGTAACTTCTATGAGCTCTACAGAGTCCTTCTAGTTTGTCAGCTAACTGTTCTCCAGTCCTAAAGGAGATGGATGGATGTTAACTACTGATATAAAACTTCAAGCTAGAATCTTTCTACTCAGTATTCATAAGGGAAGATCTGCTCTTTGATGAAAACCTTTGGGAGAAGCCCACAGTAGGTATGCTGAAGTGAGGTGCTGTGCTGTTCTTTCCTTCTCTTCTCTGTGGTGAGTTAGCTGAAATGCAGGCTCCAAGCATGATGTGAGAGAACACTGCGCTGACAGAGAAATCAAAGTTTGGATGATATAAAAATGCAAGCAGGCTAATCTCTTGTGGCTACTGAAAATTTCACTAACTTTTTTTTTTTAAAAGGATACAAAAATCAATCCTATTTCCTTCCAGCTAACTACTTTCTGGCAACCTAAATTCATGTCCCATTTTCAACTCGATACAGTAGTTTCTACTGATGAGGCACAATTAACAATATCTTGATTCCTGAATTTCTGCTGTGACATGACTACACCTAAACTAAAGTAATTTGACAGAGATGAACTATAAAGCAGAAAATAAATTTCTAACACACATATGCATGAATGCACACATTCTACTTTTTTCTTTTTTACATTTACTTGTGAAGTATAAAGCTAGCCTGCCTCATTGTTTTCCTTTCTTGTATTTTTTCTGCTTCCTTTTTGACATCTGAAATATCAAAACCTTTTTCTCTTTGCTAGATGACCCCAACAGCAGCATGACAGGCCTGAAACCTGCTCTACAGCTCTTCATCTCTTCCTCTCCGGGGAAGGGCATGCTGATTTTTACAGCATAAAAAAGAACTTGTCAAGGACCTCCAGAAAAGAGAGGGAATAGATGGCTTGGAATTTCTAAGGCCAAAAACCAGCAGAAAAACACAACTGAAAGAATCCTTATAGGGACAAAGAAATAGTAAAGTACAATGACTCTTTCACCATGTTTTACAGTTCACCTGTGATTTGTGAGTGTAGAACTGTTTGGGTCTACACTTTAGAAATTCCCCATAGGCTTTCAGAAAGACATATACTGTGACCACATTTTCAAATCTGTTCTGAATTTTAGAGCCTTTCCAAATACATTCACTGCTTACCTTCCTAAGTAAGATTGTCTTTCAAATTATAACACCTTTTTTTTTTCTGGCAGTAGCTATGGGTCCTTGGAGAATGGCTGTGCTTGGCAGACAAACCAGAGCGCTGCCAGGAAAGACAGATATTCTTCTAGCACAATGGCTTCAAGTTAGTTTTCTCTCAAGAGAGATTTCTTCTTCTTACAGCCTAATGTGAAAGGACATCACTGTTGTATCTGAAAGTTTTATGTTTTACAAAAGAGGAACAGTAAGACTGAAGGCGGTAGGAAACAATTTGACTAGTGGTTAATGTTTGTGGGCTGTGCCTCATTAGGCAGCTTAGGGGCATGATCTCTACTCTTAACTAACAATGTTCTTATCCACAGGGCCTCTGATTGATATGCATACAGAAAAATTTCTTCAAAGCAGTATTTAATGGTGCTGCTATAGCAGGGTCATAGGCTATTTAAAGATAAGCTAGAATCAAGCTTTAAAGGACTTAGCTGATGAATAAGCAGATCTCCTACACTGCAAGAATGATAAGCTGTTACAAGCCTACATGTCTAAAGTGCATCCCTTCCCCAGAAAACATAGCAGTTGTTCTCAATACTCTCCGCCCTTGCTGTGTATTCATGTGGCCATATTAGAAATACAGATGCTAAGACTTCTTGAGATAGCAGGAAGACCTATCTTCAGAAGGTATGGAAAAGTATACAAGCAAATACCTATTTTTATAAAAACTGAGATTTTATAAAATTTATGCCAGGTCCTAGACATTTCCATTTTCCTCATACTCTATTGAGTTCTGTGCTTTAATGCAAAGGAAGTCAGTTTCTCTGTACTTTCTCTTCAAGGTGTAAGTGCTAAGCAGTATATACTAGGTAAACAAAGAACCTGTCTTGTTTTTGCTTCCTTAACTTCCAGCAATACTTGAAGAAGTACTTCCCGCCTGGCCTGTTTTTTGTATCAAGAGCAATCAGCACTGAAAATGAAGATGATTCCTAAGTTATCATCAGGGTCATTTCAAGACTTGATGCTGCCAGTGCTAGTTCCACACCAGCTTTTTTTTCCCCCACCAAGTAAACCCCTCTGCCACGTGCTACAGCTGCACTGAAGTAAGTCAGCTTTTTCCAATAGCTCTGGCAGTAGGCAGGAAAAGGGCAGCAAAGAAATGTCATTACCAGCCTTTTTTCTGCACTTGCTTTCTTCCTCCTTTCTCCTCCTTCTTCCTTTTTTTTTGGTTTTTTGTTTTGTTTTGTTTTTAACCTTTACCATGTTAGGGACTTCTTCCCTAACAAGATATTCAGCTATGTCAAAATTTAAACATAATGTCATTGAGGGTTTTCAGGCTGGAAAACAAGAGCAGCCAGTATCACCACCTCGATTTTGCAGAGGGTCTGTGCAGAGAAAAAGCAGCACATTAGCCTAGGCTGTGATAGTGTACAAGTGAGTTTGAACAGATAAACATCAAAGGAACCCATCTGGCCTTGCAGTGGAATCTGTCCCTTGAGATTGTTACTCTTAACAGAGACCTTGGGGTCTTGGCCATGTTTATTATACTTGTGCAATCCCTCCCCAGTTACATTTTTTGTTTCCCATCTACAGACTGAGAGCTGCTGGAGGCAAGAGCAGAGAGAAGAGCTTAGAGCTGCTGCTTCTGTCACTGGCAAGGGAATTAATTTCAGCCTGAGTACCATCTTGCTGATTAACTGCCCTTGTAGGAAAACTGAAAAGGACTATAAGTCCTTAAAGTAGATATAATGCTGCCCTGCGATTTCCAGAGCCCTGCTTTTTTACATTCCCATGGAAAAATATGAGATAACATGTTTAAAAATTCTCTTTCTCATAAAAACGGTAAGGGAACAATCACATTCACAGGACTTTGTTTCTCCAACCTTTCTTCACCTTAAGCAGCGATTTCCAAGCAGGTGATCTGACGGCATTCAAAGGCAAAACCGGCTAGAGAACTGGACATCAGTGTCTCATACGGGTCAGAGACTTGCCAATTTTCAATGATCAATTTGCTGTGGGATCCTCTGGCTGCAGGTAGCAATGATGGGCAAAGATAACTGGGCACTGCTGCAGGCAGAAAGGTTATGCCCACTTGGAAGGGGGATGTTTTGGGACTAAGAACAGGTTCCAACTTGTCCTCCTCACCATGAACTCTCCTTCCACCCACTTTTCCTCATGATGCTGGAAAACAGTAGGGAACACCTAGCACAGAACAGAGTTTGCTGACTGGTAATTTCTCAGGTCAGATTTGCACCATAAAAATGGTCAAGAGGCCATAAGGACTTTAGTTTAGGGAAGAAATTAGGAGGATCTTAGTGACTAAGAGTGCCCCTTTTTGACATTTTCTCTAGGAGCTGATGCAGGTTCCTTTGGGAAAGAGGTGAAAAGAGTGCAAGTTTTTCATGGGCGATGAAACTCTTTAGCCATGGAGGGTCAGGCAGGATGGGACAAATTACTCAGGAGAAGACATACTTGTTCTTGGTGTTGTCAGGGTAGATTATCCTTTCTTTATCATCCCTTCTCCTAGACATCAACAATTCCAAAACCTTGGTTATAGCTTAACCTCAGCTTGAAGCAATAGAAGCTGTTTTATTTTGCCTTTATTGGAATCAATTAATCTTCTAACTTAAAAACCACAAGAGGAGTAAGGGGATGAGAAAGGTTGCATTTCAAAGTGGCAATCTGATTCACAATATTAAAATTCATCTTTAAAAAAGTTCAAAACTTAAAAGGGTAAAAATCAAAATCAGAAGTGTTGAAATCACCAAAAGAACAGTGTGAATGAACTAAAGAACTTTTTTTGATTTGTAAGTATGAAAACCTGAGATTTAAATTGCTCATCCTTATTTTGGAAAGACAAAAATCAGTAAAACTCACAAGACGGCAGAATTCATTCCACATCAAACTCTAATCTTAACTAAAAGATCTCACTAAAGGATTATTCTTACAGAACTACAAACTAAGGGGGTTTCCTCCAACAAGAGCATATTCAGTAGTTTAACTTTTTCCAACAGCCTTGCACTGCTTCCTCTTTTTATCCCTGTCCCTAAAAAGCAGTTTAATTTCCATGACTTGCAAACCATTAAAAGCCTTGGAAAAGGCTGAGCAGCAAGAGATACCCAAAATCAGAAACTGTACCATCAACTGAGTAGCAGTACTAAATCTTAAGGTAAATCAATGCTACACTAATTGAAGTCAGCCTGAATCAAGTTATACCTGCAGAAGACCTCTGTGAGTTAACTCTATTTTTAGATTACACAGTAACACTTTGTAAAGGATGTAGAATCTACAGGAAGGCTAAGATGGGAGGGATGAATGGTGGTGGTAGAAAGAGCACGATGGACAGCAAGCCCTAACATCACCTGTAAGTAATGTTATCAACTCTCTCTCTACCCCCATGCCCCTACAGAGTCCCCATATTCCCACGCCCCTAAAGAGTCCCCATATTCCCACGTGTGCAGTGCATTCAAAGACAAGATGGTGGTACTCACCCTACTACCACAATTATAAAATCTAGTAAATTCCAGCCATTGCGGAGGTAAGCGTTGGGGTGAAAGAGAAGTCCATATGCTATTACTTTTAAAAATGCTTCCACTGTAAAAATTATGAGAAAGAGATATTCCACTCGTTCCTGGGGAGAAGACAAGAAAACAAGACAATAGTTAGCATGACTGAAAAACAGTGGAAAAGAACGTTACCTTTTTTTACATTCCATCCATACAGCCTCCAACTCACTGACTCGCTGCTCAAGCACATCTAATGTGCATGACTTGCCAGAAGGCTTTTCTTTTTGCAGCTGCATAGTGTTGCAGCCAGTTCGACAGGACAATGGCAGCAAATTTTGGTTAGGGTCTGAAATCTACTGTCCTAGCCTTGTCAGGGACTGAACATTGCACAGGCCTGTGAAAAGGAGGGGAGAGGGTTAAGCAGGCATGTTCTAGCGCTCAGTCCTCTGCAGGGTTTGCAGTACAATATTGTCAGCCTTCAGAACGAGCTGCATGCACCCAGTCCTTTTCTGTCTCTGAAGAGGAAATGTTGCTGGGTGCAATGCTGTGGAGAGACATGGGGAAAAATAAGAGAGAGGCCCATCAGAGCTTGATGCATGTGTCAAACTGTGCTTTCTTTTTTCACTTGTCTTATGGGATTCCCTTCTCCTTTGCTGGGGAACAGGTAGGCTGAATGTTGGTGACAAACGATTTACAGATCAGGCTGACTAATGCAAGAGGCATTTAGTCATTCCATCAGAAACGTACATGACCCTGTGAAACACAGGCTGCAATTAGCACATCCAAACAAAGTCACTCTCAGTTACAGTATAGTCTGATTCAGGACAAGCGAGCAGACTTTCAAAGGCAGTAAACAGACTCTCTGTCTCTCCTGTCCCTAGGGTTCTTAGCCCCAGTGAGGAATCAGACTAGCAGTACTGCAGAAATGGTACTTCCATCCAACTAAGGGGATCTGCAGCATTAGCTGATCACTACACAAGTGCTGCATGGCAAGCTGGGTGGGAAATAAGTATGTGAAAACTAGATGACAGCAAAAGGAGACTAGGTCCCTGCAAGGTTTAATACGAACTCAATCATTAAAAGTTCATACCATAGAAGTAAAAACCTGAGATAAATACAAATTAAAACAACCTAGAGATTCTAGTTTGGTTGGATCTTGTACCCATCGAAACAACCAGACAGGTCACTATTTTTCTTTTCAGCTCCAAACTGTAATGGCCCTGTTTCAGTTCCAGGTAATTAATGGCACCCCACTAGCCACTAGTTATCAAAAAACACATTAACCAATCCATCTACATGTTTACATTAACATGTTATTTTACATGCCTGCGAAATTCCATCTGAAAGTCGTAGGCACGTGTTTGTGCTTCAAAATATTGCTGTTTTCCCTCAGATAGTGCTATCATAAGGCTTGCAGTATTCCCCTGTGCTTAGTACGGGGAATACCTACAAAGGAAAAAGATTAAGTATTGTTCCTTACTTATCTGATCCATTTGTAAAGCTTTTAAACACGCCCACAGTTTTGCCCTTCATCCTCCCAAGCAGAGATAGATCAGGACACGAAGGATTTATCTCCCTTTCAACTTAAAGAAGGAAACAACAGCATACAGTATTAGTGATTGCCATATCCCCAGCTTTAAATATAATAAGTACATTACCATATATAGCCGAGGAATTAGTACATAATTGCTAACAATCTGCAGTCCAGCCACGGGCTTGGCCACAGAAAAGAGCTCTATAATGGCTTGCCCGTTCTTAGAACGGGCTAATCTGGCCTCCCTTCTCTCTGCACTGCAGCTAAGAACTGAATGGGTACAAATTGATGTACAAATCACACTAAAACAAACCCCAGCGATCAAGCTCTAGGCGCACATTTGTAAAGTAAGACGAGCTGTCAGGAGGTCTCTTAAAAAAAATCACTGTGCGATGGGAAGTCTTATGCAGTGGCCTTCTGATTGCCCCGCACCTTTGTGCCGCCACACGCCTTTATTCATCAGGATGGCATGAGGCCAGACTCCAGCCCACACTGCAGGCAGCTAGCCTGCTCAAGAGGCAATGCCCTGGCTCTGAAAGCACAAGGTAAGGCCTGTGTGAAGGCTAGAGGAACACAGAAATGGGCTCCATGGGGGAACAACGTCCCGAGAACTGAAGATGGGAGTAGGGTGTATTGTGCCTGGGATTGAAATGGCCTTGCTAGGGATGAATGAACACCTTTTAAGAAGGAAACGAAGAGCTCTCTCTTGCTGCAACCTAGTCTATTAATGGGCCTCACTGCCTGTTTCAGCTAAAGGGTTTCTGCAGTTGTGAGCAAGTTCTCATTCCCTCCCCCAGGAAGGACCACCAATAGGCCTGACACTCATTCAGACTGCTTTTGAGGTTGCCCTTTCTGCTTAATTCATCTGGCATACCACTTATAAAGAGAGTCACAGGCTCACTGAGAAGTCCCCCAAAACAGCGCTTCACCTAGAACCCCTCTTGGCAGTCACAGCTGGGAATGATTTCAAGAAGATTTTGAGAAGCCCACCCTCTTAGATGGTTCAGCTCGAAGCAGACTGATGAAAAACAGGAAGTACTACAGCTGACCTGGTGCTGAAAACACTGTCCTTGACTAAAGGGACCTCTGGGCCCTTGTTCCTTGCACAAATGCTGCTGCCAGCTTTGTGTCTGGCATGGCGTTTCCTCTGTGGCTGCAGAGCTCTGCTACGCAGTTGGGCCAGAGGAACCTTTCTGCTCCATAAACTTCCTTGGAATACCTGTATTATCTGCAATCAAAAAGACCAAGGAACCAAATAATCTGGAAAATTCTGGAATAAACTACTACTTTTTTTTGGTCTGTTTAATACTCCACACAATATCCAGAATTTCAACAAGTAACAAGTTCCATTTGGCTGGGTTTGAAAGCCTCAGACCTTTTTGTCTCCTGAAAACGCCTGCGGAACTACAGACTCCTGTTCTGTCACTGTAATAACGCTGTTTGTTGAACCCTGTTACTGAAATAATAATATACCAAAATATTACCCACACACGCGTGTATACCATATATATATACATATATATGTATGCATGCGCATGCACACATGTAACTGCAAGCTGCTTGAATGAAGTCTTGACAATGTGGCAAGATCCATGACAAATAAGGTTCTGTAAAAGCCTCTGCAATGACCATAAGATAGAGAAGGCTGAGCTCAGGAGGGAGGTTTTATGATCCTCTGCACTTAAATTAATGATTTCAGGGCCTAAAACTGAAGGAAAAATAATGGCAAGTTTAAACAGTGCAGCTACTCCAAGATCTTTTCAGAAAACTGCTTTTGCTTACAATTTAAAAGGATTTAAAAAAAAACAGTAATTAATTTGCGTTCCTTTTC